TGGTGACAAAAGCAAGTCCAAATGCCGCTGTCCGTGGTGCTGGACTTGATGTCGATGCGCTTCTGTGGGTGGCTCATGTTGATGATCAGATTGATTATCCATCCATCCATTCGGTATACTGCTTGTGTGGTTCGGAGCTGACCGGAGCTGGTGCCTGAGCTGGCGCCTATCCTGGCTTTCGTGGTAAAGCTTTACCAACCCTTTGTACAACCCCTTGGACTGATGGACGGTCACTCACAGAGCACAAATAGAATGAGACAAACATTCACAAGTCAGTCACATTCACACAATCAGTGAGTGGTAACTACACACTACCTGAGTGGAAGTCAGATGAGTGAACATTTGCACCATCGTTGACTTAATATTCTGAATTATAATTGTCATTATGAAATATTGTAGAATTATTAATCATACAGTTGATATCGAGTTTCCTCTTTTGTTTGTTTTATGCCAGCAACTGTGTAATGTAGGTCGAAATTAGTATTACTACTATTGCTTGATATGTTCTGAAAATGTTGGAATACATTTTAAGTGGAAGATATGAATCAACGTTTTCCAGCGGTATCCGGTGTCAGGCCTAAATAAAAAAGGTTGTTTTGTTGATCGGTCGTTCTGCTTGTGCAGTGACAGTCATGATAGACCGATACCTTATATTGGCCACACGAGGTCGCAGGAGACCGTAAATATGAATATGTTGATCCGACGGCTCCTCAATAATTCTACTCCGCCCTGCTTGAGGAAAAAGAAATCGTCATCCGCCGATAGTTCATGCGCAGAAGGCGACCAGAAACGTACGGCAACCTCGCAAAAGTAATGCTGCGTTGGATTCAGTTACGTCAATGTGGATAAATGATCGACGGCAGTTTGTACATTTTGCTGCATTGGCGATGAGGATGCATCAACAAAGACACGATTTCTGGATTTACTTTGCTTTGCTTCTTTGTATTTTCGGCTCTTCCGCTTCGCAATTGTCCTACTCCATTACCGAGGAGGCGAACAAAGGCTTCGTGGTAGGCAACATCGCCAAGGATTTCAACCTCAACGTACAGGAGCTGGACACCAGAGGTCTGCGTGTGGCTTCCAGCTACAGTAAAGAGTATTTCAACGTGAATTTGCAGAGCGGTAACTTATTTGTAAAGGAAAGAATAGACAGGGAGGAGCTTTGTCCGAATACGGCGAAATGCTCTCTTCGGATACAAGCTGTGTTAAACAGTCCGATGACGGCGCATCGCGTTGAGATCACTATTTTGGACATAAATGACAATTCACCTTCTTTTATAGAAAGTGTGTACACTTTGGACATTTCTGAATCCGCTTTACCGGGAGAGCGGTATCTCCTCCCAGTGGCCGTGGACGCAGACTTTGGCAGTAATTCAGTGAGGAGCTATAAATTGAGCAACAATGAACATTTTACACTGGACGTGCAGAGCGGAGGAGACCACGGCGTATCTGCAGAACTGGTGCTACAAAAGTGTTTAGATCGAGAGAAACAATCTCTCATCACACTCACGCTCACCGCTGTTGACGGAGGTAAAC